AAAAAATATATATTTTGTCTAATATTTACCAGGTTTCAATCAAATTTTTTGGTTATTTGATGTTGGTGAATTACTTTAACTCACTTAATATTTCATACTTTAGCTGTTCATTTATAACTGGTTGTTGTTTTTCTTTCATCTGAATAATCAGCTCTCTCTCTCTCCTACTGGTTGTTTTAAAGGATGTAATAAGCACTAGAACTCAAGTCAGATTATGGAATAAGTTGAAAAGGTTACAGTAAGATGTAGAACACAAGTCAGGTTATGAAATAAGCTGAAGATATCACAGTCAGCTGTAGAGCACAAGTCAGGTTACAGAATAAGCTGAAAAGGTTATGGTAAGTTGTAGAACACAAGTCAGGTTAGAAAAGCTGAAGAGGTCACAGTAAGCTGCAGACAACAAGTCAGATTACAAAAGCTGAAGAGGTCACAGTAAACTGTAGAGCAACAAGTCAGGTTATAAAAGCTAAAGAGGTTACAAAATAAGGTGAATAGGTCACAGTAAGCTGTAGAACACAAGTCAGGTTACAGAATAAGCTAAAGAGGTCACAAGTCAGGTTACAAAATAAGGTGAATAAGCCACAGTAAGCTGCAGAACACAAGTTAGGTTACAAAAGCTGAATAGGTCACAGTAAGCTGTAGAACACAAGTCAGGTTACAGAATAAGCTGAAGAAGTCACAAGTCAGGTTACAAAATAAGGTGAAGAAGTCGTGGTAAGCTGTACAACACTAGTTAGGTTACAAAAACTGAAGAGGTAAGCTTAGGATACAAATCAGGTAACAAAAACTGAAGAGGTTACAGTAAGCTTAGGACACAAGTTAGGTTACAACAGCTGAAGAGGTCACAGTAAGCAGTAGAACAGAACTCAGTTTACAAAATAAGCTGAAGAGGTCACGGTAATCTGCAGAACACAAGTCAGAATATAAAAAAACCAAACCTTGAAAAAGTTCGACTTTTGGTAATTGTATATAGGACAAATGGATGTGGAAAATTATTTGTCAGGATTTAGCTAATATTGTGGAAATGGATATTTTTCCAGCTAGAACTTAATGTGTGGGCATTGGTAGTTTTAATGTAATTTCTACATAATACTAAGTAGATCTGTTTACTTTGCTCTAGTATGTAGCGTTAGAGGTGGATCAAAGAAGAAAACTTGAAACCAGCTAATATATATGTATATATATTTACTTACATATATCATAGATCTCAGTATATACATATATGTATACTCTTAAAAATATATTTATACACAAGTCACTCTTTATTTAAAACATTAGTTTTCAGGTAGTTACTACAGTTATTTAAAAGTTAACCCTTGACTTAAGGGTTGCTATCAAGTAGTATATATGGAGAGAGAGCTAGTACAGTGATACTTGTTAGCAACAAAAAAAAAAAAGATACTTTAACTGTAGGAGATGTTGTTATATCCAGTTAAGTCTTTGTTACCAGATAATAGTTTATATTCAGTAGACAATATGCTAATTTGTTGTATTTGCTGATGTTGATTTCAGCTACTACTTGAACACTGGGCTTAATTATTCAGTTCTCTGTCAGTAGAAATCAACAGTAAACTAGATGTTGCTAAGTTTTTGAGACGTATTTCATAAAATAATTATATTATCTTTTAGATTTATGAGGAATGTATTCCTACTAATAATTAGTTGTTAAATCAAACATCGTATCAATGATTCCTCATCATTCTTGCTCAACCAGCACAATTTACAGATTCCAAAGGGTTACGTATCCCTCAAACTTGTTGTGGAAGGTTCATTTATAGAAGAAAATTTATTAGTTTTATTACAATGAAGAGGAAAAATATTTTCACCCTATGGCGTTCCTAATTTTATTTTCATCCACAATCATACTTTATTGTTCTCTGAAAAGTTCTGTCATACCACGATAGGACTAAGAACTATCTTCATAAGAATCAATTGTTTAACCCTGTATTATGTTCAATAAAAATCAGGTCATTAACATAATCCGTTATGTTTATAAATTGGATACAGTGAGTGATTTTTGCAGCTTTTGTTGTTGTTGTTCAATATTTGTCTAACTACGATGGACTGCTTGAAAAGGTACTTGCATACTTTCAATTGTTTAAAAAGTGTTGGAAATACACTTGACAATAATAAAAATGTATTAAATCATGAGTGATACTGAGTTTGTTACATCAGTGTTCTTACTTATCATTTTGTATACTGTAGCTGACTGTCAGAGCAAGCAAAGATGACAGTAATTTTAGATGGCCATGAAGGCTCCAATGAGCATTACACTTGAACAAACAATATATGTAAATATTGACTTGTAAAAGAAAATGTCATAACTATAAACAAAATATTTGAGTATGTGAGAGTTATTTGGTTTTATGGCTCTTGTTGAGTGTTTTAAGATGAAATTTAGAATATGTTGTGATAAGTAATAATTTCAAATTATTTAGTTGTTTTTAATTTGAAAATTTAGATATTGGGAACAAAGATTTTAAACAGTTACGATAAAATTACTAACTTACATTACAAAAATTAGACCTTCAATTAGTTTTGTTGAAGTTTTGATGTTAAGTTTTTTGTTGGTCATCTTTTTGGGGTGGAGTAGGGGACACTGTATAATGTGACATGAGACCTGTGATTTTAATTTAGCAAAAAACATTTTAGTTGTTTAAGTTTTAGTTTTTAAATCCTCTTATCTTTTAATAAGTATTTGTTACTGACATCAAAAGTTTGTTTTTTCTGGATATTTAAATTTAATTTGAAGAATGATGACAGGAAATGTTGAGAGAAATTTGCCCATACAGAGAAACAATGAAGTATTTTAAAGAATACTGTTATGACTTGGAAACACTATAATTCCAACAAATATTTGAAAAAACTGGCAAATCAGCAGTGATGGTAAAATAGCGCCACCTCACGGTTCTCTTTTGCACTAGACAAATGTATTAAATCAGTCACCTAGTATGCTCTATAATATAGTTGATATATTCGTTATTTATACACATTTAATTGATTTATGTGCTTATCTTGCTTAGTATAACTAACATAGAAAGAATGGGTAGTTGATACCGCTGATTTAAGCCATCTTAAAATTATAATTCAAGTTGTCAGTAGGCTAGAGAATTGATTTGAGTTTGACACATAAACGACTTGTAGTCTGACTGATTCTTAGTTGTTCAGACGGTTCAATTACAGCTATTAAGTAATATTATTCAAATTGTTAGCTTCGAACATTGTATTTTGAGTATGATTTGTTTACGGTTGTCATGTTTTTGAATATTTGCTGTGTTTTGTGAAAAAGTTCAGTTCATAGTTATTATATATGAAAAAATAGAATGAGTGTTAGGTTATTTTCGTGCGATGATGAAAACTTTATTTTGTTATCAAGAGATAATGACATTGAGTTGTCGCTGAGAGATGTGGAAGCTTCCATACACGAGGATGGTGACTTTGTGGGAAATACACTCATTAATTGTTCATCGTTGTTCTAATTAGTCAAAGCGTACAAGTTTATACATAGGTTGAACTTTGTTCTGTAGTTTGTTGCGATTAATAATGGATATGTTTTTATTTTTCTATTTGCTGCTAAATTATTTGTTACTAATATTAAACGAAGCGAAAAAGTTCCATAGAACGAGCGGATACATTTCCACTGTGCTTACTTAATATACTTATTGCCAAGCGGTTACACAGAAAATATACACTAGAGGCGCTTGTATAGCTCGACAGGTCAATTTATTTTGTAATTGTGAAGAAAGAAGTTATAAAACGTATTGTATGTTATAATGCGTAGCCACTCATGTTGAATCTAAGGTTAAAAATGAAAATTTATAATGTTAAGATATGAAATGTTTACAAATTACAAAAATGAGTTCTAACACAATTATGCAAATGTAATATAGTTAAAAGTTTACAAACATATTTTCCATTGCTTCAATTTATGTGCCCAGTAATTTGTTTTCATGCCGTCCCTTTTATGTACAAGTAAAATGTATTCTCGCAGAGACATTTATGAATTTGAGTTGAACTTCCAGCCTATACTTTTTTAAAAAGGGGAATTGTGAACGTACTGTAAGTCAAATCTAATGAGTTCTGCTTTGAAGATTTTTAAAGAACAAAATGTTTGGAATATTTGAAATAAATTATTATGAGTTAATAAGATGTGTAGAGTGTATTATTATTATTTGCAAGGAAATTGCAATAAGTAAACACATTTAATCAGACTTGGCTATATACGCTGAATTAATACTTCAGATTTGTTTATGTATGTACATAAAAGTATAAAACATGTATTTTGTTAACTGTAAACTTTGTTTATTAAAAAGTTATATTGGCCATCTCTCACACAACTATAAATGTAATTAGTTAATTCCATTATAGAATAACTACACCTCAAAATTTTGTATAGTTCCTTATGGCAAAATTGCTATTAAATTCTTTCAGTTGTCTCATATGTGTGTGTGTATACATACATATATATATATTTCAACTTGTTTATCACCAAAACATCCAATTTCAATATACACTGCACTCTGGACGACAAATGAAAATTTCGTACTACATGGCCACAGGCACATTTTTACTTACATTCACACTCGTCACCTTATATTGTTCATCGTACATAATTTCTCATTTAAAATATGGGAATCTTATTTTTCATACCTAAATTAATGACTGTGTAGTATGCAGGCATACAATGTGTTAGCTACCCCTCGTTTTAATATAGAAAATGTTTGTTTCTTACGTCGTGAAGTTCCTTTCTTTCTAGCTATCCATTGTTCTGTGTTGTAGATTTCAACAGGACAGAGAACAGTTTCTTCATTGTTTTCTTTTTCCAATGAAATAGCATGTTTACAATCTTGCACTTTGACCTCTTTGCTGCCATCAAAATGAACAGATGCTGGCTTACTGGTATCATCACTTCTAGCAAGGAACCCTCTCAGCAATTTGCTTGACTCCACCATCAAAGCTGCAAATTGTGCACGTCTTTTGCGTCCCTGTGCCCACTTTCTTTTTTCGACGTAATGTGCTAAAAGAATAAATTTAATAAATACTGACTACACTATTTAGTTGCAACATGCAAATTGTCAGGTGAAAGGAAGCATTCTACTTTCCTAAGTTCCTAACTTCAAATTATATTTAAATTATACAATTATAGTTGCAACTCAGGACTAGTTTGGCACATCTGGACCTGGTTTCACTTTAACTGCCATTATTTAGACCACCCATATTCATGTTAATGAGTGTGACACAACAGTAAGAAAATCAATGCCGATGAGTGTATATGTTGGTAAATCATGCTTATGAGCACCATACAAATTACTGGCAGTTGTTAAATCACATTTAAAAACTCAATAGGTTTAACTACACGAACACTACAGGAGACGAGTCTGAAATTGCACGAGTGAAATTACACACACCGTGGAGAAGGGTGTAATCATAACATAATATAAGCCTAGAGGCTCAAAG